ATTATGTTGACCTAAATAATGGGACTCAAAAATGGGTGTTTTTTCTTCTTCTTTTTAGGACAAATGGGGTTGTTAATATGTTAAATTGATTTTTTTTCTTATTTATAAGTTAATTTATTTGTCCTTTCATTTACAATTTCTTTTAGGAAGACTATACCATTTGTTTTGATTTTTATTATTTAGAATTAAAATTAAATCAAATAAAAATTACAATCATGAGGAAAAATTTCCCGATGATTTATTCTCTAAATTACACTGATACTTTTGAAGTTTCGTAAAATGCATATAACTATACTTTTTTCTCGCAGTATAAAAAAATTAATAATAAAAAATAAACCCTATAATTTTTCTTATAATTTATGACAATATTTCTTATAAGAATCACATCTTAACGTTTTTCAAATAAATGATGAGTGTTAATAGGTCAATGTAAGGAAAAGAAAGAAATAAAAAAGAGAGATGAAAACAAAAAAGTCCCCAATAATGTATGATATAGAGTTAATTAATTTAATATATTATTTTTAAATTTATGATTCATTTTAATCATTATTTAATTAAAATATGGTCACAATATAAATATGTTTTGTGTAACGATTTGCTTGGCCGTCACACTGCTCACAACATAGTACCACACAGACAAGAGAATACATATATAAAATAAAATATATACAATATGTCTAGCCCGGGGTTCAATGCACAAAATACATCTAGATTAGCCAAACTATGGCTAAAAACAACAAAAGTATAAACTCCATCTGTCAGCTGCAAGCCCACCTCAGAACACCAACCTAACCCTGCTCTGCTCCCATATACAGTATGATCATTGCAGTCCAACCACATGGAAACAACAAAGGGTGAGCTAGTGAAAAGAATTAGCATATAAAAACAAATATAAGAAATATGAAAAGCTACAACTATCAGCACATCATATAGTTCAACAATCATTAGCATACAACTCATCACAGCATACATCTAATATCATTCAACAGTAACAACAGTAAACACACAATGCGTCGTCACACATATCAGCTTAGAGATCTCCTACAACAACTCAGCCTTACGGCCTACAACAGCTCAGCCTTACGGCCTACAACAGCTCAGCCTTACGACCTACAACAGCTCAGCATTACGGCCTACAATAGTTTATATCAGCATGCAGCACAGCACAACACAACAATAACAACATATAACAACATATAGTATAACTCAACATTATACAACACAGCTTAAACAACTCATAGCATAGCAGCATTATAAATCAGCTCAACATTCATCAATTAATAGCTCAGCTCAGCATATATCAACAATTATTAGCATTTCTCAACACATATCAGCATATAAACAAAGATCACATCCGCGCCCGGCGCACTCATGGTCGCGCCCAGCGTGGCCCAACCAGAGAGCATCAGGGCTCAAATGCGCCTGGCGCAATTCCAATTGCGCCCGGCGTGATAGGAGGTAGAGACCCTAGAAGGTCTCGGACACCCGGCGTGCCAAACCCGCGCTCGATGTAGGGAAGGCAAAGACCTCCCCAAGGTCTCACGCCCAGCACAATTACAATTGTGCCCGACGCCACCTCTAGCAGAGGCTCCCAAGGAGTCTCTACGCCCGGCGAGATGTAGTCACGCCCGACGTAGCACCAGAAACCAAAAACCTTTGTTACTCACTAATATCGCGCCCAGTGCGGTCCAACCACGCCCGGCGTGGGCCATCCAGAGGCTCCCATTCTCAAGCTCGCCCGGTGCACACAACTTTGTGCCCGGCGGGCTTTCCCAATGGAGCCCTCTGGTGGTCACACGCTTGGCGCCAAGAACTGGGCCCGGCGTGATACCCAGCAACAACTCACCAAGTTCGAAAATCTTGCCCAAATCTTGCAAAAATCAACAGTCCAAACACATGCAAGCCAACCAAAATGCCACATTTTCATCAAACAACAAGAAAAACACCTCCTTTTCAACATGCAACCACAAACAAGGAAAATCCCCAAATTTTCATCAAGAAACCCCGAAAACCCATTTTCATCATTCTCAGCCAAAATCAACAAATCATCAAACCATTCATGAGTTACTAAACTCATTTTCGTACAGCCAGCATGAAATCCTAGCTTCCCTTATCTCGGTGAGACGATTCCGAGCTCCGGGAAGAAGAAAAAGCTTGAATGAGAGAAAATGGATGACGAACGGAGAAGAAGAGAAAGCTTGAGGATCAGCGCACTCACCACTAGCACCTATAGCCACCAAGATCAGAGAAATACACAAGGATCAGAGAATTGGGAGGAAGAAGAGAGTAAGGGTTGGTTGAGAGTGAAAGAGAGAAAATGAACGGAAAGGGTCTCACATTTTGCAGGCATTTAAACTAGATTATCGTACATATGATAAAATTATTACCTTTTGTGATAATTATTGTAAAAAATATATATAAATGATTTTTAATTGATTGAAAATTACAAGATCGTTAGTGTGTAATAAACTAATAATACATGAAAATTAAACTTTCTAATCATAAATACACACTTGATGTCTGTACCAGGACTACACACCACTCGGTCAAAGTCAACCCTAAACACACCCCTTGGGCCTTGGAAAAGACCGACATGTACCCAAAACGCAAAACATACGCAAGTACCCCCCCTTAGGCCAAGTACACCATTAGGCCGAGTACCCCCTCAGGCCGAGTACCCCCTTAGGCCGAGCACCCCTTTAGGCCGAGTACAGCATTAGGCCGAGTACCCCCTTAGGCTGAGTATCCATCAGGCTAATGAATGGGCCGAGTACCCCCTCAAGCCAAGTACCCATCAAGCCAATGAATATGTTGAGTACTCCCTTAGGCCAAGCACCCCTTTAGGCCGAGTACCCCCTTGGCTGAGTACACCATTAGGCCGAGTACCCCCTCAGGCCAAGTACCCCCTTAGGCCAAGCACCCCTTTAGGCCGAGTACACCATTAGGCCAAGTACCCCCTCAGGCCGAGTATCCATCAGGCCAATGAATGGGCTGAGTACCCCCTCAAGCCGAGTACCCATCAGGCCAATGAATAGGTCGAGTACCCCCCTTAGGCCGAGTACCCCCTTAGGCCGAGCACCCCTTTAGGCCGAGTACCCCCTCATGTCGACTACCCTTCAGGCCAATGAATAGGCTGAGTACCCCTCAGGTCGAGTACCCATCAAGCCAATGAACAGGCCGAACACCCCTTCGACCAAGGGAATGGTCGAATACCTCTTCGGCCAATAAACAGGTTGAACACCCCTTCGACCAATGAACATGCCGATACCCCCTCGACCGATGAACATACCGAATGGGTATTCAACTGTAACGAATTTCCATGAGAAAAAGGAAAGCAGGTATTAATTACATTAAACACATCCACGTCAGCTATAATCAGTGTGCAAAACCTTGTGCACTAGCCCAATAATCCAGAAAGCCCACCAGGCCCAAGAACGTTACTATAAATATGGTATTGATGGGACTGATGGGACAAATATGATTATTTAATACAATAGCCTTTATTGCTCTATACCGAATACTCACTTGAGCATCGGAGTGCCGTTGCAGGTACCCTCTCCACCATTCGGAGACAGGACTCAGCCATCATTTGAAACTTAGGAGACTAATCAAGAAGGAGGAGAGAAGGAGTGTTCTCATCAGGAACAAACTTATTTTCTTACTTTTGACATGAGCTCACGTTATTAGCATGTTATTTTTAATGCTGTGATGTTTTTTTAAAAAAAATAAAATTTAGGTAAATTTTTTTAAGTATAGTTGGTATTCTTTAAATATAGTTGGTGTTCTTATTCATTCAGAATCCAAGTTTTATTATAATACTATGTAGGTATATTTAATGTAAATCTCATTGGTGTATATATATATATTATATATATATATATATATAGTGCATAATATTAAAGTAGATTTAGAAAATAACACCAATCATTCTTATATATATATATATAGTGCATGATATTAAAGTAGATTTAGAAAATAACAACAATCATTCTTAAGATTAGCGTACTTAATTTCTTTTCTTTTCTTTAACTCTTGTAATTTCATCTCGTGGAAGAATGGAAAGAACACGTTTTGTTTGAAGGTGATGGGTTAGTAGTTGATTTTGGCATCCTATAATAAAATGATGAAGAATTAATCACTTAAAAAAAAAAAAAAACCGAGCCCTACCCTTCTCCCTTTTCTGTTTTTTTTTTAATTATTTCTTTTTCCCTCTCGCACATTTGGAAATTGTAGTGTTGAATGCAATTGGTATCTCACGAACCCTTTTTATTATTTATTTTTTATGAATCTTGTTTATCAATTATTTATTATATTTAATTTATCAATTTGCACTAACTTTTAATGTCATTAATAAAAGAGTAAAAAAAGTAAATGGAGTATATTATATTGGGATATAAGAGGAAGACAAGGAAAAGAAAACAGATAAAGAGGGAAAATAATAGTATTGTAATGAAAAAAAAAAGGATTGACATTAAAAATGATGTGTGGTGGATGAATAAAAACATGTGAAAATAATATATAAAAAAAGATAAAAATATTTATCAAAATACGTATCGATTGTGTAATGTGTGTAAAATAATTTTATGGTATTATCCGATCACACCAACGTATAATGAGTTTGTTAAATTTTATACCAACTACTTTAAAAATTATTTCAATAATAATTTGTAATCGATAGAGAGAATAAACTCCAATTCAAAACCTAAACGACTTAGAATAGGTTTAATTAAGAAAAAGGGGCCATCCCTTATTAATAAGAAATTGGACCAGAACACTTATAATTAAACTCTTAAAAAAATTTGCAACTTTTATTACATAATTGCAATTCAAATTAAAAAGCAATACTGAATGATATCACACTTAAATTTTGTCTTTTGCGTAGATGGGGTAATAAAAAAACAGGACAACATGATAGTGAGGCTGATGATGTTGATTCTCTGAAGGGTATATATATTTTAATCTCCAAACGCATATCATTTACCAACTCAAGCATGTATTTTCCCAAAGAGGGTGTCTCCATGTAGAATCTCTCTCTATCTATGTTCTTTCTTTATCACCTTAATGGCTTTCTTCCTCATTCCAAATCACTTCTGTCACATCCCCTTCTTCACTCTCCACCTCCTATGTTTCTCTCACCAACTCCTTCAACTTCACATTTCATGCATTAGTTTCTTAGAGGCCTACACTATGATGTTTCTTTTCTTTGTATTTAACTCATGATGATTCTGTAACGCTTCCCTTAATACCACTTAACTCATTTCTTTGACTAGGCTTTCCCTTTGTTCACTCTTTCTTCTTTACATGTATGCCTTGGTTTTTGTGCTTTGTCTCTCCCCCTTTGCACCCTTTCTTTCAGGTTCTGCTCATCTGAATGAACATGTAGAAACTTTGAATAAATCAACCTATGGTCTCTTTCTGTTTCTTCACGTTTATGTGATAGCCTCTTTAAACTGATCAACACCATGATGTGAAAGCTTGTCAATTTGTCTTCTGGGTAAGTATCTTTTTGTAAGACAATATGAAATATCAATATCTCTATTCTCAATAACACACCTAATCCATTGAGAAATAGGTTTGGCTCTAAATTATTCTATTGCCATTAGTTTTTGTTTGTGTTTTGTTTTGTTTTTTTTAATAATTTCTTGAATTTTCATTAACCCAAGATATGAAAGTGGTTGCTTAATTAGTGTCTTCACATGGATTTAGTCATTTGCTACAATCTTTGTTCAAGCCGAGAAAACTATTTATTTTCATTATTCAACATCTGATCTAGTGAGACAACATGAAAATGACTTATCCTTTTCTAACTGTCGCTTCCATGTGGGTGCCACCATAAGAAGTGTAGTTGTGCTATATAAATGTGGTATAGTTCATTGGCTATAATATATGCATTGGGTTTATTATTCTTTAACTGTTGTTGGCTTGTTGCTGATACTTTACCTGGATTTTCTGTCTACAATTACAGATAGTTATATTTGGCAATAAGGTGTAAAGGCTTGGCTGATCAACATGCAGAGAAAGAGAAATCAGGGAAAAAGAGCATTTTCCCAGAAATGGGTTAGTATGTCTAGTAAAAAAGCATTGCCTGTTTTTGGTGGTGGCACTTGTAGGGGCAAGTTTTCTCACAACTCCTCAGCTGAAAAGATGAGAATTTTAGAACTAGAAGTGTCTCCCTATAGGGGCAATGGTTCCTCCTTAGGTGAAGAGCCTCAGGATGCAGATTATGATCACGTTCCATGTCTCAGTGATGAGCTGGAGACCATGATATTGGCAAGGTTTCCAATATCAAAACACTGGAAGATGTGCTGTCTAAGCAAGCGGTTTCTGACCCTTCTCAAGAGTGGTGAAATCTACAAAATGAGGAGGGTGATAGGGTTCAAGGAACCATCAGTGTTCATGTTGGCAAGTGGAGAGAGAAACTGGTATGCATTTGATGGCCACTTCAGGTCCTGCAGGAAGCTCCCTATAATTCCATCAGATTACAACTTTGAGTGGGGAGATAAAGAGTCATTTTCAGCAGGCACAAATCTCTTTGTTTCAGGCAAGGAGGTTGAGGGTGGTGTTGTCTGGAGGTATGAGTTAGCCACACATGAATGGTTCAAGGGTCCTTGCATGCTCACTCCAAGGTGCCTCTTTGCATCAGCCTCATGTGGCACCATGGCTTATGTTGCTGGTGGACTTGAGACAACAACTTCGGAAGTTTTGAGTTCTGCTGAGAGATACAACTCAGAAAACCACACTTGGGAGACCCTCCCAAGGATGATTCAAAGGAGAAAGTCTTGCTCAGGTTGTTACTTGGACAACAAATTTTATGTACTTGGAGGGCGAGATGAGCAACAGAACGACCTCACTTGTGGGGAATTCTTTGATGAAGGGACCAACACTTGGAACTTGGTTCCTGAGATGTTGAAAGATATCCCTCTTTCAACTCCAAGAGCACCTCCTCTTGTTGCTGTTGCCAACAATGAGTTGTACACCCTTGACGCTTCCTCAAATGAGCTTAAGGTTTATCTCAAGGGAAATAACTCGTGGAAGAAGTTAGGACATGTTCCAGTGAGAGCTGATACACAAGGTGGTTGGGGTGTGGCATTCAAATCCTTGGGAAATGAGTTGCTTGTTATTGGGGCTACCTCTTCCTCCTATTCACCGCGTACCATGATGAAGATATACACTTGCTTACCTGATCCACATGTTGAGAAATTGCAGTGGAAACAAATTGTGTGTGACAGCACCAACCTTAACCCCTTTATTCACAATTGTGCTGTCATGTTAGCCTGAACCTTCATGTCAATCTCCAAAAATACAAACGGAATAAGAAAAGTTTCTGTTTGTTGGTTAATATGAAGTAGTCATCTTTTCTAAATTCAAGCTTCTGTTGTGTGATCTTTGTTTCTAGTAATTGAGCCACATGAAGGTGTCACTTCATGAAACTACTTGAATGGCTTAGGGTAGTTACGAAGCTTGTTTATGTATCTCGTTTCTTCGTCTTTACTTTCAATGGTATCAAAAATGACAAGTACAATCTATTGACAGTGAAGAGAAGCAGATAATAAGCTTCATAAATCAAATGCTAAAGTGTCTTAATTATTTATTTCCCGTCTTGATTATTTTTCCTGATTCATTCATATCAAAATTTATATGTTACAAATCTATCTGATCAGGTAACTGTGCAATTATAATTATAAGGCCCTTCAGTTGTTAGGTACAGATAAAATCTATACCCCCCGCCCCTCTCTCTCTCTAAGTATATATACAATTTTCTATTTTCATGTATATATTATTTTTTTATTATAATTTTAATATTTTAAATAAAATAAAAATTTGTGAAATAATAATTAATAAAAGTTACTAAGAAAGTTTTTCGTACTTCTGTAAGTATTTTATTGATTATGATTCAAAATTTAATATATCATCTGTAAATTTTGTAAAGTCTTTCGTCTATACAGTCTTATATGTTCAGTTTCTCTCCATTAGTCCGATAGATTCAGTTCGTCTCCATTAGTCTAATGTGTTCAATTTGTCTTTTTTATAAGATTTAGTCTACAAGCATCTGGGATATATATATATA